GGATCAGAGAAGTATTAGTTCGCTGAGATTTTAAGGGCTTTAAGAGATGTCAAATAGAATCTGATGCAAGTTTCAACCTAATCTTTATGGTCTTGAGACTTGTACAGCCTGATCTAATGAACTATGGTTTGTGCTATTATGAGCTCCAGTCTGCTGTTACTTTTAGCCCTACTCTAGCTTCTTTTTCATGTGAATAGTAGAGATGGGCTTTTGCTACCTTCTCCTCTTAATCTAAGAAAATGTTCTTATATATGCTCAAGAAAGATTTGTCAATGTTAACATTCTTTCCCGTAATAATTGTTTCTCAGGTACTTGGATCACAACCAGTTTTCTGGGAGAATTCCTGATGCCTTCTACAAGCATCCATTCTTGAAAGAATTGTGAGCTCCTAACGCTGTTTTTTTTTTTTTTTTTTTTTGGTTTCTTTTGTTTTTGTTTTTTTTGTTTACCTGATATGCTATCATAGTTGGAGAAATGGGAAATTGTTAAGTAGATGTGATACACCAAAAGGAGGGAAGAAAAGTGATGGATTGAACCCAACTAACCAATTATGGATAGACATGCACAAGCATACTGAAAAGGGTTTCTCTAATCTTGAATTTGTTATGGAAAGTGCTGCCTAAGAAATCCTCAGAGGACGATCCATTATCTGTTATTCTTTGAACTGAGTAATGTTTTCTTCACAGGTATATTGAAGGAAATGCATTCCGACCCAGTGTGAACCCCATTGGTGTGCACAAAGTCCTTGAAGTTTCTGATGCTGAATTCCTTGTTTGATGAACACGATGCATCATATTCTTTTGATTTTCTTCCCTGGAAGGTTGCTTGTATAATTACTGAAACAATTAATCATCTGATAATCTCAGTGAAATAGTAAAATAGGTTATTCAATTTTGGTCTGATCTGTATCTTCATTGCATATTTATTTTTTATGTGGGCAAACATTTCATGTCACTAAGAAGTTGAATGTACATGAGATGGATTCGATGTTGAAGTTCAGAATGTATTCAATAATTTTAGACAAAAATGGTATAGAGGAATGGAATTGGAAACTGAAACCGTCAAGCATCGAACCCTTGTGCTTGCAAGAGAAAATAAAGGGTCTAAATTTTGGGTAGATTTCAATTTGACAGCGAAATTGGTTAATGGGAAAAGTCGGTAACCTAGTTCTTAAATTGATGATTCTTAAAGAAATCCACGTGCGGTGCTGCGTTGGTAGCCAATTTTTGGCAGATAGGACTGAGTTATAAATGCAAGGGTAATAATGTAAAAAGTTAATAGATAAAGGTGAGAAGCTGTGTGGTTTTGAACTTTTTATGTAAACACTAAATTATAAATTATAAGTGAGTTAAAAATTAAAAAAGTTAAAAAATTATTTTATTTTTAGTTTGTCATATACTACTCTTTGGTTTTGTTTATATGATGTTTTTAATATGTTTTGCAAGAATCTAAAAAAGCCTTAAATTATATTAACTTTTCATTAAAATATAATAATTTTCTAATTTTACCTCTTTTTAATCTATACATGTTAAAAAAATAATAATTATCTATACTATAATAAATAAATGACAAAATATTATATTCCTAGAAATTTAGGTTTAATTATACAAAATTTTTCTAAACTTTGGGACGGTTGCATATAACCTTTCTTACATTTCAAAGTTTAAATTCAAACCCTTGATCTCTTACTTTTTTATTTATGGACTCTTTGCTGCTAAGTCACTGTTGTCTTTTTAACAGAATTTGTCACGTTAGATCATCATAAAACACCTCGCATCCTACGAGGCATCTTACAGAGCATCTTATCTAAGTTAATTTTATGAAACTTTCTTGAACTTTAAGCTAATTGCACATAACTCTGCTGACATTTATACCCGGAAAAAAAAAAAAATTCCCTTGACATTTTAAGACCGAACCCCCTTCAATTACCCTTTTTTCCTATTTAATGCTTATCGGAACCATCTGATTACTTTCACGTTAACATTTTTTTACAATATTATGGTCTTATTTTACAATTTTAATAAATTTATCAAGATTTTGACAATCATTGATTAATTAAAATATCAATTATTGTGTGACAAAAAATAGAAGAAAATTTTTATTTAAAAGATTATGTTGATAAAAAAATATAAGAATAAAAATGAGTAAATGATAAAATGACCTTTTAATCCTTATATAGAAATGATATAATTATTATAAAATGATTATATTAAATAGTATGCCATGTAAGATGCCATGTAAAATGTGAGGTGCTTTATAGTGATCTAACATGACAAATTTCGTTTAAAAAATAACAGTAAATTAGCCACAAAGTATCCATAATAAAAAAAATGAAAGCTAAGGGGGTTAAATTTAAAATTTAAAATGTCAGCAATGTTATATGCAACTAACTTATAGTTTAGGAGGTTTTGTATAATTTAGCCAAAAATTTAATAAGGTGACTTATAAATATAATCAATAAAATTTTTTTTGGGCCTTATAAATAAAACAAAATGAGTACAATTAAATGTATATATATAAACATATCAAAGTCGAATTCAAACCCAAGACTCCATCCTAGCATGGCAGGTGGTGATGCTGCTGGAACAACTAGCCGTGAACTGTTATTTCTTTTGTTTGGATTATTAATATCGAGGTTAAGATTATTAAAAATTAAAATTTTATGAAATAATACGGATAAACTTGTATTAAAAATTAAAACTTTATGAAATAATTCGGAGCATTCATACGCTTTCTAAGAATTGGGGAAAAATGGAAAAGGAAAATTTCAATTGAAGCCTAGATAATGTTCTTACCATTATTAATTTGAAAACAATAATAATAAGATGTAACTATGAAGATGAGATATATACTTCACTCGCAATTTTAATTTTTATGGTTGTCATTCTGCCCATGAAAGCATACACATACATGTGTATGTATAGCACGTACCAATATTGCACAAAGATCTTGCAGAGAGCGGGGCTAGCAAAAGATGGCATTGGCTTGGGTGGATAAGAAATGAATTCAATAATTCGTGCAAGCTAAATTAAATATATGCAAGTAGTAAATTCAGAGCAAAACTTGTAATGGACAAGCAATTTAATATGTCAATTTTCCAATTTCGAGCAACTGATCAACCTAATCAAAGTGTAAACGCACTTTCTTCAAAACTCTCTGTATCTCTTCCATTTGTGGGTGTGATTTCTCACCAGCAATAAACTCATTAACAATCCCATCAATCTCCACTGAGCTGCAACCAGGCGCCTTGTGTACTCCTTTCTTCTTCATCATCTCCCTTACCCTTCTGGCATCACTAGTGTTCCCAGTTGCTGAATATAAATTAGAAAGCATAACATACGCCCCAATGCTATTCTCCAACATTTTTTGGTTGATCTCACTCTGATTTGTATTCGAATTCAGATCCAAGGATGGCCCTGATATCAGTGAGTCAGAAACTGGTCTGTGATTTTCTATCAGAAAGAGTCTTTCAGCTGCGGCTTTGGCCATTTGAGCTTCTCCATGGTTGCAACAAGCACTCAGAAATGCTCTCCAAGCCATTGCTTCTTGTTCAGAGCCATTACTTGAACAGTGGCTTATTCTTCTTATCATACCTTTTGCTTCTTCGAACAGCCCTGCTCTGCTAAGCAAGTCTACCAGACAACCATAATGTTCAACTTTAGGATCAATGTTGTACATATTAATCATTTTATCCAAAAATTTCAGGCCTTCTTGAGCCATTCCTGCATAACTACAAGCTGTGAAAACAGCAAGGAATGTTAGGTCATCAGGCTTTATCTTGGCCTTTTCCATATCCGAAAACAATTTAAGGGCATTTTCCCCCTCATCATGCATTGCCATTCCAGAAATCATAGCATTATAGCATATTGTATCTCTCTGCGACATGGATTCAAATATTCTTTTGGATAAGTCCAAATGCCCACACTTGGCATACATGTCTAATAAACTTGTGCTCAAGCGAGTGCTCATTGGCACCCTTGTTTGATTCAAGCATCTATGGATCCAAATGCCGACATCTAAAGCCCCAAGATGAGCACAGGCAGGAAGAATGCTAACAAATATGGATTCATCAGGTGATATGTCAGTATTCTGCATCAAACGAAACAAGTAAAGACCTTCCTTGAAGCAATTGTTCTGCACATACCCAGAAATCATCGCTCCCCATATTCCCTTATCTTTCTCAAATGCTTCATCAAAGAAAAATCTAGCTGTTTCGACATCACCCACCTTTGCGTATCCTGATATCATCACAGTCCAAGACACAGAACTTAGGCGAGGCATTTCATCAAACACTCGTCGAGCATATCCCATATCTCCACAGACACAGTACAAAGCCATCAAAGAATTACCCACAAAAAGATCAAACGCAAAACCAAGTTTCAAGCTATGCCCATGAATTGATTTTCCTAGAGGGTAACTTTTCAGGCCTGCACAAGCCTTTAGTGCATAAGGAATGGTGTAATTATCAGGAATTAAGCCATTCCGTAGCATCTCAGTGAACATACTTATGATTCTGGTGTGTTCATTGTGGAGCAGGAAGGTTTTGATGATGGTATTGTAGATGCAAATAGTGGGTTGGTGAATGCGTTCAAAAATTTTCCAGGCGTAGGTGAGGAGGCTGTTGTCATGTGTGTTTGAGGAGAAGAATGCTAGAACTCTGCTTAGAGCAAAGCTATTGTTTTCAAGTCCACAAGTGATTACTTGGGCATGAGCTTGCTTTATGTGCTTCATGTTCTTGCATTTCTCCAAGAGTAAAAGACACCTCTTGCTGCAACTTGACATGGAAATCACTTTCAATTTCTAAATCCTTCAACTTCCCTATCTTGTTTTCATGGTGGTGCTTGCTGGCACCCTGCAATTTTTTCACGATTCAGATTAGTTTGATTACTGAACTCAAGGTTTGGTTTCTCTTTCCCATCACACTTCTATCCTTGCGTTGAAAGTGTTTAGTTTTGATCTTGCTCAACCTCCAGAACCAAATAAAAGAAGTCGAGTTGAAATTAGGAGGGAGTTTACTCATATTAAACTATCAGTTTCACTCACATACCTGGTGACTACAAATGTAAAACTATATTGAATCGTATTAAATTACGAAGGTGGAAAAGAAAAGAAAAAGTTACCGAAGTCTACATGAAGAGTCGAGACGGTGAATTAAAGAAAAAGAGAATAAAATTATTTCCGCTTCGTCCGATCCTGGTTTTGCTGTTCGTCGTCGTCGTCGTCGGACGAAGCAGAAGGATCTAGACGCGCGGCATCCTTGGCCCACTGAATCAATTTCTCAACTTGATCATCTTCATCTTCATCTTCTTCTTCAGCAGAGGGAAACGCAGGGGTTTGCTTCAATGATGGATTCGAATTAACCTTGAGAACATCGAATCTGGCGAAGAGATCATCGCCAAGAGCAGGTTTGGATTCCCGATCTTCACTTGCAATTCCCACTGAGGATTTGCTTGATTTGAGGGCTTGGAATCGGCGCTCCAGATCCGCATCGAGAGTCAAGCTTGATGAAGCTGAAGCTGAAACTGAAGATGCAGATGATGCTATGTGAGAGTCGAGAGAGAGCTTTAACAACAATTCGTCCTGAGCTGCTCGTAGAAGCTCTTCTACTTCGTCTCTATTCTTCGTTTCATTGCTCCCCATCCTTCCTCGCGCGCTTTGTTGTGATAAAAATGTTCAATCAAACAATTATCGGGTTTGTGAGAGAGAGAGAGAGAGAGAGAGAGAGAGAGAGAGAGAGATATATATATATATATATATATACACGCCCGCGCGCACACATACACACACATTTGTATATAATCGTATGTTGAAGTTTACTTTTTGTTCTACGCATAAATTGCATTTATACAATTTTCTTTTCATTATATTTTTTCTGACTGCATCAATTCTTAATACTAACTCTGATAATTAATATAAGATCTAGTTGATTAATTTAAGTAGATTAAAAAAATTAATTAAATTAGTTATTTATAATAAATAGATATTGTCTTTGTTAAAATATCCTTACTAATTACGTACAACCTCTAGTTCTTAATATAAGACTTTATTTGATTTTTATTTTGGTCTTAAATATAAGATCTCAATCCACTTCGCCTTTCATATTTATACATTTTTTTAAAAGTAGTCCTTCTAATAATGATTATTCTAACCAATACACTTGATTAACAAGGATATTTTAGGAAAGACAATACTTATTTATTCCAAATAACTAACTTAGTTTCTTTTCTTAATCTATTTAAATTAGTCAACTAGTTCTTATATTTAGGACCAGAGGTAATATATTGGTTAGAACTACCATTATTACAAGGATTATCTTTAAAAAAAAAAAGATGAATATGAGAGACAAAGTAGATTGAGATCTTATATTTATGACCAAAATAAAAGTTAAACAAACTTTTATATTAAGGACTAAAGTTAGTATAAGACCTAAGTGACTAATTTGAGAGGATTAAATAGTTAAATTAGTTATTTGCAGTAAATAGATATTATTTTTCTTAAAATACCCTTATTAATTATGTGTGTTTGAATTACCTATTGATATTGACTCATTAATATATGCAATTATTATAGGAATTATTTGAAAGTAAAATAGATAAATATTGGAAATAAAGTTAGTTAGGTTCTTATATTTGAGATCAAATTAAATATCAAACTAACTCTTATACTAAGGAATGGAGATAGTATATTGTTAATTTTTTTGCCAAATTTTTTTTTTATTGAATGAGGAAAATATACAAACTCCAGAAAACCAAATTAAAAGACTCCAAAAAAAGTCACATTGAAAACAAGTTATATACCCAAAGACCTGTAACACAAAACGATGGACTCAAAAAGAATAACAACTACAAAATAAAAGACTAAGGTCGAAGCAACCTAGCCAGCTCTACTCCTATCTGCCATGCTACCAGAAGAGAAACAAATTATGTCAAATTTTGAGCATCATCCTGTGATCTTCTATTGCCATTAAATTCCAAGTTTGCAACCAGAAGCTTTTCCAAGAGAGGTAGAGTTGCTATAAGCCACCCATTGGATGCCAACTCTCTGTTGTAAACAGCTGCAAGATAATCTACAACCTGATTACCTAGATGTTCCACCAAAGAGAACATAAGGATTGTTTTCCTCTGAACTAAGTAAAAATCTCCTTGGCAACCCAAGCACACTGCCGTTCTAAACTAGCAACAGAAAATAGGGTTAAATTGTAAATTTTGATATAGAATTTTGTTATTTTTACAATTAAACTATTATTATATTTTTTTTTAATTTTATTATTAGTGATTATTAGTGTTGTTGTATTTTAATATGATTAGTTTGACGTTGAATTGACACCGGTTTGATAAAATAACTCTTGAATTGCTACTTCAATCAATTTAGTATTTGGTTTGGTTTGGTTTTTTATTCCTTGTAAATTATATGAAATGATAAATATAAGATTTTGGGCATACCTAGAGAGTCCTTCAAGTTAAATAGCCACGCAGAGGTCCGGTTATTTTAATTAACTCGAAGCTTTGTTTTTATAGTAAATACACACTAAGGGAAGAACAGAGGGGGAGGAAGGAGGAGTTTTCGATGGTCTGTTGTTCTGTTGTATATTCAGATGAGAAAGGTCAACCCTTATATACCCACATAGGATAACTGTTCCCTCCCTTTTTCAGTTTAAACAAAAAAAAAAGAAAATCACAATTGGAGACCCAAATGTCATGTTATTTGCACCAGAGTCCCAAAGTTAATGTACTTGAGTCCAATCCACCAAGGATAGATGGCCCATTTTTCTATATCTCCCACTCATTTGGTGGATTAGATATTGTGGGTCTAGTCTCTTTCTCTCTCCTTAATTTCATACTTTGTGCTTTGCCGTGACCGCGTGAGCATGATGTCTTCGCTCATGTGCCTGTACTAGAAATCCTTTTATAGAACTAGCACAAGTCACCTTTTCCTTCATATAGCTTGAATTTTAAAAATTATGCCTTAGATGTCCTAGATTTACCTATATACACTTTTTCATGGCAAATATAATCCCTCTTGAGTCAATATTTGACTTAGATTACTTTCCTCACAGGTCTAGTATCCACACTTATAACAATGAAATGTCATAAGGAACATGTCATAGATACTAGCATAGATGTGTATATTGGAGTTAATCTTCCTTTCACTCAAATATGACTTTGATATGAATTAGTCGCTTTCTTAGTATAATATGTTATATCGAATCTATCATGATCGTAGGAAACATGCTAAAGTAGCAGTTATTGAAACATATTTTCAAGATATTGTCAAAGTCAAAGAACATCAATAGGAGGATTGTTCCTCCCTGAGACTCACATAGCAATGAAGCAGGGATCTTTCATTTGCTTCCTTTTTGCGGTTCTCTTAGCAATGTGGTATGAAATATGTCACACCTTACTTATATAGTACCTTAACATTCATTTAGAACCATTCCAGACCATGTTGGATGGTCTTACACTTAAAAATTTCAATTTGGACGTTAATTTTAGGAAAATTACTGTTCACTGTCCAGTTTTCAGATTACAGGTCCAACTTTTAAAAATCATAACTAATTCTAGAAAAATCATATGGAGGTGTTCCAAAATTCTACGGAAAGCTCTTTCAATGCTCTTTAAGGGAAAAATATTCAACTGAACTCATCCTCACTGAAAACGTACAGTTTATTGGATTAAAATTACTATTCACTTGGTAAAATCTGGACTTTCCAGATTCTGCGCCTTAACTTTGAAAATTCATATCTCATTGTATACACATCCAAATGATGTGATTTACCACTCATTTTAAAGCTTGGGATATGAATTATAAGTGTACCAAATTCCGTAGCTTAACTCATTCATATGATAGGTCGAAATGAAGCTTGAAATTAACTGCTTTAGGACCTACGTTTTATCCCTTAATATCTTTTTACTTTAATTCTTTTTATTTCTTTGGCATACCTAACATGGGCTTACTTTTTCCCATTCATGCTCATATACTTTCATTCATGCCATAAACATCCTAAGCACATACATTGAATTGATGGCATTCATAACATAACTTACAACATAGGAGAATTATACATTGAATAATAACATCAATCATTAGCATTAATAATTCTCCACTTCTTCTCCTTGCTTCTCATGCCCTTAGTGCCCATCATTGATTTGACCTAAATGGTTGGTTAGGGAGGGGGTGAGATTCGGGGGAATCTCAGTAGCAAACATTACCACATACATGCACAAAATGGATGCTAGTGTATGGTATGTAGTTTTTCATAAATTTAAGTTAACTAGTGACATGCCATCATGCTTTATGCTTGGTATAAAAATGCATGGCCATGGGAACATATTAAAAACAGCATTTCCAGCAACAATCATCATGTCACAACATCATTCAAACAACAAATACAAACCAACACATAAGCATACCATGTCAAGCACATAAAGGGTAAGTTCACTACCTTGCACCTCAAGCTCTCCTCTTACTTTTCCTTTGACTCCCTTGACTTTCCAACCATGTGGGTATTCGGTCAACATCACTAAACATCCTCTTGGATGTTCCAAAGGTCCTAAACATAACCATAATGATGACACAATCCATTAGGACCATTAGATTACATAAAGTTCAAGACTAGCTTTCTTGAACCTCAACCCCTTTCTCTTAGTCTTAGGGTTTTCTTTCTAGCTTTTCTAATATAAATCTTATCATTTTACATCCTTCTGATCTATTTGCTATCAATTAGGACCACTTTAGATGGCTTTAGATTCAAGAATATCAAATCTGGAAATTTTGGCTCGCGGGTACTGTTCACGCAGAATCTCCAGAATTTTTGCTCAACTTTGAAAATTCATAATTAAATCTAGAAAACTCCAAATTGAGTGATTCCAAGTCTCACTAAAATCTAATTAAGTTAAATTTAATGGAAAAATAGTTTCAGGAACCAATTCTACTCAGAACAGTACCAGAATTGTACGGAACTAGACAATCTCCCAAAAGTTCAACACTGTTTCCAGATTTCAAACCTTAACTTTGAAAAATCACCATAAATCGTACACATATCCAAATAAAGTGTTCTACCCATGGATTTAAAGCTCATAGAGTGTGCTTTAAGCATGCCAAATTTCAGAACCAGATATGAACAGTAACTAATTTGAAAAAGCCATCAAATCAGCACGTAATTCTTCCAAGTTTCACATAGATCCACTTGGATCTACCATACTTTGAGGTGTTCTAGCAAGATCTAACAACCAAACTCCCTTCCCCACTCATCAACCATTTTGACCAGCCATCAAAAGGGAGAGAAGACATATTTTCAACCATAAAAGAGAAAGAAACCAAGGCAAGAACACATCTAGAGCCAAGAACTCACCTTGAACCTTGATTGTATGACCAAAGTTGATGCCTTTCTCTTGGTTTTCCCTCAAAACTCTCTCTTTTTCCCTCTCTTCATGCCTTGCACGAAATTCCCATCTGATTTAGGGGAGAGATGAGCTCATTAATGTGTACAAAATATCCCACCAACTATCATTAATGTTATGCCAAGTGTCATTAGCCTACTTAATCATAATCCTCTCTCTTAATTAACTTAAATCATAATGTAATTAAATTCCAAAGTCAAGATCCTCTCCATTGGTAGCTTGACACTTGGAAAACTTTAATTACCATCCA